AAAAGAAGCGAAGAGGATACACGTGTTTAACGTTTATCACTAAATATGCATGACGATCGCAGCGGAACGCTCTCGGTGTGTCCAAGCGACCGTATTATTAGTCATTTTTCCGAAACGCCCGTCATTAAAATCAAACGAGCGCGCGGCACTCGCAGCGCAACCGTATACGACAAGCGTGCGTGCTTCATCGAGACGTGACTTCCGAGATGATGGTCGTTGGAATAACTTGTGGCGCGGCAAGTTCATTACCACTGGCCCGCGCGCGCTCCGGCTATATTTGCATATCACATTGCACGTTAATACGCGCGACGTGCAGGCCCGTAACTAGAACACGGTGAAATTTAACCACTTCCCCGTCGAACTTTAGAGATGCCAATTACGGCTTACACAGATAGCAGATAGTTCCCTCTTCTCCTCCCCCTACCCCTTTATCACCTCTCTACCTAACGCGTGTATCTAGTTTTCACCTGCAGGTAACTTGCTTCTCTCCACCCACCTGAAGTAGCGCATCGTTTTATTTTTTCCCTCTTTTCGTCGGCACTACTCGATAACCGAAACATTTCGAACAATTCGATGTTAGCGAGCTCGATCTCAATATCGGCTGACTGATTCGAATGTCGATAGGCTCGCACGTCGATAGATTGCCATATGTCCACCGTGACACGCGCTGTGTGTTATCTTTTCGTATAGCACGCTGTTAGGTAGATCGAACACGCGTGACCTAATCGCATACTGATATCCGCGGGGGCACAACGCTTCGATTATGAAGCACTCGTCAAAGCCGGCGACACTACGAAACATGGTGGAAGGAATATTCATACGCCGTTCATTGTTGTAGATTATCCAGAATGGAGGCACGCGCGACGTTGACATTCATTTATACAAAATGGCACCGAAGTCGTATCACTTCGAGGTTAACCGAGAGGACGCGCGTTCTTGCACAGCCGTGTTATCTTTTTATTTTCTCTTTTCCTCTTGCGCAGAGATTCATAATCGATCTCGGCGGGGCTTTGCGGCTTCCTCGCCTCGTAGGATCTACACGGAGAGAATATTGCAGCTACTTCATGTAAAATTCTCTTTCTAATTTCCCTACGTTTCCTTGCTGAAGAAGCATTCTGAATTTGTCAATCGCACAGACCTCGATTCTCAAAGCGAAGGAAGTTATGTTCTACAATGAAAATACTCCCAATGTAATCCTCCCTGCTTGCTCCACTCTCTCTCTCCCTCTCTCTCTCTCTCTCTCTCTTTTTATCTCTCACTCTTCTTCTATTATTCAAAGTTTCAAAAACGTGCGCACACACTGATGGAAAAGAGTGATTGATCTTCTATTCAAATTATAGCCATTTCCGGCGTCAATTTTGTCTCGTTTTATGGTTCTAACGAAAAAATAGCAGTAGCAATATGCATGTTAGATTATTATCCATTGGCGCTACTGCAATAACACTTACTAGAAAAATAGTTCCGATTATAATTCCGATTATCCGATTATAATTATAATTCTGTCGCTATGCGATTACAGTTAATACGTACAAATGTTAAACTCACTTTTTGTGGGAATCACGACAGACGCGGCCGGAATTTTCGCGACAAACGTCAAACGGCCGACGGCGGAGGCGCACAGCAACGTTTCGCGACAGAATGGCATGACTCCGCCTAATGGATACATTTGCCGACACAATGCGGGGGGACCGTCCAATATCTTGGCGACTATTATCGCGACATCCTGCAGCGACAGTTTCGAGGACGCGGCAGCTGCATCCTGTGTGCAGCAAAGCTACGACACGACGGACTCCCGAGCGAGATTTCCTTCGCAGTCCCGTCGTACAATGGCGTAATTCGCCGGCTTCGCTTAAAGTTATACCAGCCCCGGCGGGAGAGCGAGAGAGAAGAAGATCCTCGAGCGAGCGTCGACGACGGCGAAAAATTAGCAAACGCACAGCGCCGGTCGTTCAAAGTCCAGCCGGCGAAGTTGCGCCCCGGAATCGGCGACCTTTACGACTGAGCTTTCATCCCGTCGCTCACGAGACTATTCAACGTAGCTCGGAATTGAGTACAGAGGACTACCATTCGCACAATCTCCAAGTACAACAGGTAAGGCACGGTCCTGAGACGCGCGTGCGAATGCTGCGAAACGTATCCGAGGAAATTTCGCCTCGCAGCCGAGCGGAATCGCGAAACCGGGTCGTTCGCGTAGTCTCCTTCGTCACGCCGAGAATCGAGATGCGAGTCGCGGGCTTATGCAGATTTTATGATCAATAATCAGTGCTTCGAAGGGGTCATATTAAGCCTATAATACGCGAGCCGGCATGCATTACCATAATCTTGAAGGTGGCTTTATTACGGCGCTTATTGCGGATAATCGCGTTAACTGCGCCGTTGCTGCCGCTGTTGCAACCGGCTCTCCGTTATCACTCACCGACGTTTCGCAGCCGCACATAGTCGCCGTTAATAGTTGTTCGGCGGCGTACAAATTGCAAAATTGCCGATCGGCTCGGTCGCCTTGATGAAACGCGCGCGATCGTCGCTGCTCCGCACGAGCGTTAAATACCGTGCGTGAGTAAGCGCGAGTGTTCTCTCGGCTTTTTCGCCGATAACAGCGATGTATCGATACACAGCTACTATATTTAGATCTACCAAGCAGAAGCTTCAGTCTGTCTCCCCTCCCCCTCTCTCTCTCCTCTTTGAGGAAAGTGAAAAATGCGTATCGACACTCGGAACGACACTCGTCATTAGCATTCCGTTTCCTGTTGCAACGACGACGGCGCGAATGGGAAACCTAGCTAATAGAAAGAGAGGGAGAGAAGAAGAGAAGATATCACGCAAATGAGTATCACAAAACGGAACGACGGGTACGATATACTTTGCGAGGAAAATTACGCGGCGCATTAAATATATCCGATCTTTTCTTTTTGCCTGGCGAAAGACGAATTCTGCTTTTATTGCAAGCAATATCAAACGAAAAACGTAAGCCGACTGACGACTACCGTTCCATAATTAACCGACTGTAAACTCGTGTGCGGCGCGTAACATAATGTATGCCGGCCGCACGACGTACATTTATACGAATGCTTCGCTCAATGCAAATTTCTGACGTATGCAACAAATGACATATTTCGCGAGAAATTATGCAGAGCGGCGTCAGTACATCGCGCCTTTGTTGAATGTTCGCTAGAGAGTTCTCTCTCTTTTTATTATGAAACTTGATACGATAATTAGGAAAACCATTTGTTCCCGGCAGACACTCGATAAAACATCTATCTATCACGATAAGTAACGCATCTGAATGTACATACACAATCGCTTGGAATTTAACATTTTAATATAAACAGCCGCATTTATCGTAGCACACGCCCGTTCTTCCATTAAAACGCGACATCTGCGTCACGTAAAACATTTTTCTCGGAGATCTCTTCAATTAATCAAACAGCCCTCTTTGTGTGCGGTACGGCGCGATACGATACAATATTCATACTTCATCCGTCACTCCGAAAGTTTCCCCCGCTGGTAGCATCGCGAGAGGAGCAAGAGAGTCATGCTGCCGATATCGTCGCGATACAAACACACACATACACACACACACACACACACACACACACACACACATACAGGCACACAGTTACAGCAGCGAGCTCGTTTAATTTTTATTCTCGAAAGTCGAGGCGCGTGGAATCGCAGACCGGGTTCTAGCTTTCGCGTAAAGTTAACGCCGGGAAAGAGAAAAAATTAAAAATTTAATTACATCCTACGGAAGCTCGAGTTATATATATCCAATAATGAGCGTCAATCGATCATTCTCCGACGTATACGCGCTATGTATTCAAACTTCGTAGAGTGAGAGAGAAAAAGGGAAAAGGAGGCAGAAAGTCGAAGAAAATCGCAGAAAATCGTAGCGGAATCGCTTAAAGCAGCGACAGCAGCTCGGGTATTCAAGGACCCGCGGCGGCCTACCTTCATGAAAGGCAATAGACGGTCAAGGGTTAAGCTGCGAAAGAACGACGAGGCGAAATACACGACGAGTTCAGAGCGTCCGCAGAGTATTTCCGTTGCACTTTAAACGTCTGAGGAAATTTATCGCGCGGGATTACGCCGCCTGAGGTTCGATCGTTATCTATCGCGAAGGAAGAGCGAGCGCGAGATAGCGCGACGTGCGAAATTGGGAGATGCGCTTATCCACGATTCTAACGTATCGCCGGACGACGGCGTTTTTATCCGCGGGCATTTTTATCCGCTCATTACGAAGCCGCACGTGCAACGTCGGACTTGAGGAGTTGCACACATGCACACACATACACTTCGTTTGCGCGAAGCGTCAAACTACCGGTCGCCGTGTGTTTGCAAACCATCGACGTTTCTCCATCGTCGAGCACGTGATTTCAATATTTAAGGTGAATTTTTCATTGGACGACCCTTCGCGGAATGGAAAACAGCCAAAGAAGAGAAGTTCAGTGATCATGGATAAAAGATTCCGTTTCTACTTTCCACTCACCGCTCGTCGAGATGGTCTTGAAAAATCAAGCGGTAACATTTTTTCTGTTCCTTTTTTCTGTGATTCTATAGGAAAAGCCACTGATAAGCGGCAAGTATAGAACGAGATAAGACGCGATAAAGCGCGTGGCAAGCGTTGCGTATGTTGATGGACAGAAAGGGAGCAGGATAAGCCGAGTAAGTGGAGAAAAATCAAACTATGGACTTAAATGTAATCTAATCTTTCGTGACTCGAGCAATTAACCAGAGAGAGAGCGAGCGCTATCTCAGTGAAACGTATCGGATCGTTTACTCGTCGGAACAATCTTTCGAAAATCAACTCGCAGAATCTCGTTGAAGCCGAATACATCGTGTTAATCGCGCGCGCGCGCGCGCGCGAGAGAGAGAGAGAGAGAGAGAGAGAGAGATCCGTTTGTCTATAATTAAGAAAGAAGACGCGTCTCTCTCAAGATTTCGCTGATGCGTTTCCTTCAGGTCTTACTCTCCCGCCTCACCCGATTAAAAACTCGACTCACTCTTGTGCTTCGAACTGCTCTTCCACAAACCCCTGAAGAACGACATCCTGGCCCAGCGCAGCGCTAGTCCCAGCAACTCCGAAACCTTCTCCCTCGTCACAATCTGCCTCGCCAGCTTTGTCCCTCCTTCGAGTTCGTCCACTCACAAACCTCGAGATTTGTCCCGTGTCCCGGAAGCAAAAAACGCGAGCCCGGATCCGCGAATCTGAGATCGAGGTCCGAACAGTCGAGGGGGATTTAATTATCGTTTGCACGAGAGAGTCACTGAACACGAGCCGGCTTTCGACGGCTGGCTGAGGACTGAAGCGAAGCCCTCGAACTAACAGCTGGTCGTTCGGCGGGAGATTCTCTCCTGCTCGTTCTTCTCCTCCACCTTCTCCTCCTCCTCTTCCTGGGGACGTGCTCGGCCAGGCAAATTCGAGGAGCTGCCGCGTGGAAACGTGTTGCCGCGGTGGCAGCGCGCCGCGATGTGAACCGTCCGGAACGGTTTATAGCGCTCGCCCTCTCGGCCGCGAACATGCGCATCCCCGTCCGCGTCCCACTGCTCCCTCGCCCGCCCGCCGGCCCAGATTCCGGTTCCGCTTCCGAACCGGATCTCTCTCGCCCGCCGAAAGGATAAAGATTATTTTCACGCGTTCGCGTATGGACGAAAAGCCGCGAGACAGTGCGCGGGATCGGAGGAGTTTTCGGCAAGCATGAGGAAATTGCTGAAAAACGCGAAAAATTACGGTCCCTGGATTTTCCGTAACCGAGACCGAGGGCAAATTTTCGAACCGCTGGCAGGGAGAAAGGCAGAGAGAGATGGAGAGAGAAGAAAGTAGAGGAGTGAATAAGTGAGTGAATGTGTGAGAATGTGGTGGCGTCAAAGTGGGGAGGAAAAGAGAAAAATTTTTACCGCGAAAAGTTCACACCGAGGTAAAAACGCTCGGATCGATGGGATTGAGAAGGAAAACGTTTCGGCACCGCAAATAAGGCGGTGAGATTCAAATATTGTGATCGATGGAGGTGCGAGTAAAAAGATTACGACAAGTCCCGGCGCGGCTATCGACGGGTGAATGAGCGAACGGGTGGGTGAACGGAGCAATTTAGTATTCATCTTCGCCGGCGGCATAGTTGCCAAGAAATTGATGCGCTGCTCTTCGGCACGTTCCCGAAACATGGGACGAAGGTCTCGCCACCTAATTTCACGGGAGATGCTCGCCCTAAACTCGCGCGGGAGCCGAACTTCCTTGGATAATCCTGTACGAGGTAACAACCCCCTCCTCGCTCCTAATCGATTTAGCGCGTCTGCGGTTTTCCTTTGGTGTCGTCGCTAAGGAGGAAAAGAAATACGTTTAACTCGCGGGTTAGAGCGGACGATGGTGGTCGCATAAAGTCGGTAGAATTGTTCCTTAAAGTATGCTCATTTCACTAATAATAAATAGAATAAAATTGCCTCTGGTGGACGAGCTGCGATTGAAATCGAAATCACCGCGAAAGGATACATTTTTACTGAATAATACGCCACGCTGTAAATGAAATACCTTTACACCGAACGTCAAATTTACATATATTGCGACAGTTAACTAATAATCTGTTCGGGTCTCTTTTTAATTCCACGAGATGAAAATTTATACCATGCGTAAAATAATTCCCCATGCTACCCCTTTAAACGTTTCGAATATTAACAGTTTACTCGAATATCTTTCTAACTCTACGACATGAATATTTGTGTCGCGCGTAAAATAGTTTTCCACATTACCCTGAGATGCTTCGAATGATATGAGTATAGCCCGGCAGGACAAACTAGTTATGGTACTTTCTCGGTGTGTACAAATATTCATATTCTCCAGAAAAATTCTCGCCGTGTGTTCGCGCGTCGACTCGAGCGAAATGCCCGAGCAAACTCAAACTTACCGGACCGCGCTTTCGCGTACTCCCCGTAAGAAAATACGTAGCGAGAACGAAGGGGATCCACTCGATTATCGGGATAGTTATGCGTTCGTTAGCGCACGATTGACTTTAGACGACGGCAGCGGCGGCGGCGGCGGCGGCGGCGGCGGCGTCGGCTCGTCGAATCGATTTCACGTGCGCTCGACCAAATTGGCAATCAATCGAGGATGGGAAAGGGGGAGAGAATCGAGGAAAACAACTGTACCTCCCGTTGGCTGCTAAATTACCCCGCATCCATCGGCCGCATCGGATTACGGATTCAACTAACGCGCGAGCAAATAGATCGTAGTGAGACAATTGTACACCGGATAAAACGGCACTTCTGCATAGTTTTTTTTTTTCAGGAGAATAGCAACGAGTGATTTTTATCCATTATACTGACGTGAGTGTCTTGCCGATATTGCTTCATTAACGCCTGAATTATGCCTGGTTTGTCGAGACACACACACAGAGAGAGAGAGAGAGAGAGAGAGAGAGAGAGAGAGAGAGAGAGAGAGAGAGAGAGATGACATTTGTATATATTGTAAAACGACAAGAACACTAATTTCGTGATTAACAATCTCGTTTGTCGCGTGAAACGACCCGTTGAAAAATGACACGTTATGTCAAAATGAGGAAAATTGTCGCTTGATGGAGCAAAAATTCCTCGTTAAAAAGATACTTCGAGGAGGGAATAAGCTACGCGGCCGGTGGAAAGTCAAGAAAGATGATCGACGACAGAAACCGGCAGGGTCGTTCTTCGGGAGATGGTCAACGTTGAGCTGCGAGTTTTTGTACGTCCGACTTAACGGATGTGTCGCGAAACTTTGCTCCGCCTCGTTATACCGCTAACCCTTCCCTCTATGCCCATTGTGGCCCGATCGCTCCCTTTTTCATCGTTGTTCTGGTTTAAATCTCAGGTATTAAAACCGGCTCGACCTCGGGGTGCTCGGCTTTTCGTATCATGGGCGAAATAATCTCGCTGTATCTGTATATATTAATCTGTATATATTAATTAATTAATTAATTAATTAATTCTACGTAAACATATGATAATACTAATTAATTTCACG